ATACAGCGCAGTATGAATCGCTCAGTAAAAGAGCAGATTTCGTTTCCATTACCTGCACCGAAATGCCTACCGATGAACGTTTCCCTTTCCTCGAATTTTCCTGAGTTTCCTGTTTCAGGCGAACTACATACCCCCCCCCCCCTCCCCCCCGCTCGTCGACATCGACATTATATAGTAGGATGAGTTCATTTTCTAGTGCTATCAGAGAAGTGATGGCTGAAGGAAAAGTTTGCACACTGAGCCTTCAATACTTGGCAGTATAGTGATAAGAGATGTAATGAGAACGGCCCCTTATCTTTCTTATCAATTGATAAGATTGCCTGTCACCCGTCATCAATGTCCCTATCACTTACTCTATAATTTGGTAGTGTAAAGGCTCCAGCACTTTGACTGAACAGCAACGGCAACGTTCCTTATCAGCCCCTATCAGCTGTTATCACCTCCTGTCACCTGCCGTCGATGTCCCCATCTCCCACTCTATCATTTTCTGAAATCAACGCCTAGCTGATGCTGTGTCCTGCGTTATGAGTATGGTGACCTTACCGTTCTAACTCCCCTTATCAAATCTTATCAGCTGATATCATTCCCTGTCACCCATCAATAATGTTCCTGTCCCACATCCTATACCATACCTTGGAACCAGTTCACTGTTGCTGTGTCCTGCACTATGGACTCGATGGACCATTCTTACGCCTCTTATCGGATCTTATCAGCTGATATCACTCCCTGTCACCCACCAATAATGTTCCCGTCACAGCCTCCATATCACTGCTTGGAATCAACTTCCTATAGCTACTGGGACCGGCGCTATGAATTTCGTGACAGACAGACAGACAGACAGACAGACACACACACGCACACACACACACAGACGAACATAGCCCATTATATAAAGTAGGATTATAAGCACTCAGGCAGACCGACGACCACCTGGCTTGGAGCAGGGGTTTCCGTGAAACGCGAACAGCCTTTTTACAGAAAGGAAATTGTTTCGTTTCCATTTACCTGCAAACTCCCACCCCCTCGATAACAATCGTTTCTTTGATCCCTAGCAACAGTAAATGTCGCTCGACAAAAGAAAAACTTCGAAGGTTACTCAAAAACGAAGCTGCTAATATTTCATAG